GTCTGCGCGTGCGCGCCGCGGGGCACTGTGGGGCTGTCGCGCCGGCTCCGCCGCCCCGGCCTGAGGTCAGCCAGGGCCGCGTAGTGACGGGCCGGGCACCTGCTGGCCGTCACCCGCTATGCTCCCAGTCCCCGTGCGGGCTCTTCCCCAGGCTGTCACGTAACTCCTGAGGGTAGTGGTTCCCAGCCCTGTGAGTATACGTACGCTTTTATATGTGCATTACTGTCGGAGGGTCGCCGCTTTTCTGAGCAGTTGTACGTAGTAAGCGCACAGCTCCGTGCAGGGCCGGGAGAGCGGCGTCTTCGGAAGTACGGCCTGAAACCGCAGACCACCGGTTCATTCCCCACCTCCTCTTTTGCCCACGACCTGGGCGGTGTCTGGGTCAGTTTTCGAACTGTGGTTATGAATCAATTAGTGTGTCACAACATCAGTTTAACGGATTGCAACTAACGTTTTGTAAAAGGAAATAGAGTACAGTATCAGTGTATCTCACAAAGCAGTGGCAAGAAGTGTGACGGTTCTGTTGATGTGAGTCATTTAGGAGCGTAAGAGGGGATGCTGCTGCAATTCCTGTAGGATCAAAGGTGAAATCTGAGATTGTCGCTGGCCCGTCGGGACACAGGTCACCTCTGTGTGTCAGGACATAAAGTCCCTGGCTTGCATTCTTTCATGCCCCCAGTCTGCCCTCCGTACAACTTTGTGAACTATGCTTTTAAAATGTGGATCTTACCAGGCTGCATGCTTTCCCCAAAACTATGCAGGGAAGCCCTGTGGCCTATGAGGACACGTTCGGGATGATCAGCGCCCTCAGGATCTAGTATCGGGCAGCTTTGCCTCCTCTGTAACCTCCAGCCTACTTGATTCTAAAGGATTTCCAACAGTTCTCCCTTTTATATTCCTTTACTCTTGGCTGCCTGCTGTCCACCATGGTGCCTTCCCCGCTAAAGAACCTTCCAAAGCCAGCTCAAGCACTGGGTGATAACGCACCTTCCCTTGGGTTCACACCTCCGGCACAAATTCCCAGCCAGGCGAAGTGGCACGTGTTTGTAATCCCAACTACTTGGGGGACTGAGGCAAGAGAATCCCCAGCCTAGGCAACATGAGACCCTGGCTCAAAAAACAAAAATATGTGCTACAACATGAGTATATTAGATTTCTGGGGTTGCTATAACAAAGTACCACAAACTGGGTGGCTTAAACAACATAAGTTTACTGTTTCACACCTCTGGAGACCAGAAGTTCAAAATAAACATATTGGCAGAATTAATTAGTTCGTTCTGAGGGTTGTGAAGAATCTTTTCCTTGCATCTCTCCTACCTCCTTGTAGCCTTAGGCATTTTTTTGTCATGTAAATGGTGTCTTCCATGTTGGGGTTTTTTTTTGTTTGTTTTTTTTGTCTTTTTGAGACAGGGTCTCATTATGCGATTCAGGCTGCCCTTGAGCTCACTTTGCTGCCCCGGCTGGCCTGGAACTCACGACAATCCTCCTGCCTCAGCCTCCCAAGTGCTGGGATTACAGGTGTGTGCCACCATACCCGGCTTGTGTTTTCATAACACAGGCAAGTCTTTCCTCTATGCAAGTCTGTCTCCATGTCTAAATTTCCCCTCTTTTAAAGATACAGTTGGACCTCTGGGTGTAGCTTGGTGGCAGAGCCTTTCCTTGCTTGGCATGTATGAGTCCCTGGGTTTAGTCTCCAGCTCTGCTAAATAAGTAAGTAAAACAAAAATCTCTCTAAAAGCTATATGCTGTGGCTAGGAACAAAGCAAAATATGTATTTCTTATTACATCAAAGTAGGTGAAAGAAACCAGTCAGCAAAAGCCAAACGTTGTATGATTCCATTTATATGAAATGTCTAGGCAGCTGTATAGAGATAAAAAATAGATTAATGGTTACTGTGTCTGAGGGAGGGAGGGAATTCCTAATGAGTAGATTATATGTCTGTAAAGCTGTTCAAAATATAGCAACAATAAACAGAGCTCTTTTATACCCTTCAATCCAGCTTTTTCTACTGGTTACCATTTTACATAGCACATTAGTGTAATGAAGAAAATTAACATCTATATGATATTGTTAACTAATTTACAGGCATTATTTGGATTTTTTTAGTTGTCCAACTAATTTCTTTTTCTCATCCAGAATCAATTTTAGCATCCTACTTTGCATTTATCTTTGCATTTATCTTGTCAGCTTAGCCTTTGCAATCTCAGTTATATATTTCTATTTTTATACTTCTGATTGTAATCCAGCATCACGGGTCTAATTTTTTTTCTTTTTTCTTTTTATTTTTTCTTTTTCTTTTTTTTTTGAGACAGGGTCTTGCTATGCAGTTCAGGCTAGCATTGAACTCACTATGTAGCTCAGGCTGGCCTCAAACTCAGAGTGATCCTCCTGCCTGTGCTTCCAGAGTGCTAGGATTACAGTTGTGTGCTATCATACCTGGCCCACACAGGTCTAATTTCCCCCTTCCTTCTCTGCTTATTTATACTGTCACTCTTTGTTCAACATTAAAAATTCTTTTTTTTTTAGCCTCAACTTTATGTTTTCTGTTTTATTTATTTAGTTCTCGTTTTTTTGGGCCAGGCTCTCACTGTGCATGTCAGGCTGGCCTTGAATGCACTGTGTAGCTCAGGCTAGCCTCGAACTCAAGACCATCATCCTGCCTCAGCATCCAGAGTGCTGGGATCACAGTGGTGCACCCAGTGCCCTGTGGGTAAATCTGAAGAGGCATGATTGCTGGCTTGCATTTCCTGAACTTCTCCATTCCTTTTCTCCTCTCTGGTGAGGATGATATAGGGGGAAAACTGTAACTCCAAATCTGCTAGATGTCAGAGACACTGAGTTCACTTTCCCTAAAGTTGAAGAATGAATTCTAAGGAAAAACAGAGGTTAAGAATAGGAAAATCTATTGGGGAATAGGAATAGCTCCTGAGAGACGGGAGGGGTCCCAAAAGGATCACCCTCAAAGGTAAAAACTCTAGCTCTCATTATTAACAATGTATTTATTGGTCTGCTCAATCCTAATATCAGGTCTCCAGGTTCATAGGTTCCACATCCATAAATTTGACCAACCACCGTATGAAAATATTGGAGAAAAAAAAACTGTATCTCTGCTGAAAATATGTAGATATTTCTTGCCATTATTTCCAGATAATACAGTGTAACAGCTATTTACATAGCATTTACATCATATTAGATATTTTGATTTAGAGAGGATTTGAAGTGTACACAGATAGATGCGCACAGGTTACGTGCGAATGTGCCATCTTACAGAAGAGACGAGCATCCACATGTATCACAGTTCCCATGCATCTTGAGGGATGGATAATGCTGTCTGTATATAGTAAGAAGTTTTATAGTTGCTAACCATGTATCTTTGTGAAAAGCAAATTATTAAGTGGAATATAATGTTACATACAATATTTTGTCTTAAGCCTTATAGTATGTAGACACTATTTCTATTGGGTCAGGACTCTACCCTATGACCTCATTTAACTTTAATCGCCCTTTAGAAATTCTGTCTCTAGATACAGCCACAGTTGGAGTTAGGACTTCAACACATGAAAGGGATATAAACATTCACTTCATAATAATGATGAGGGACTAAATTTGTCTCCTTATAAGATCAGGAATAAGGCCAGTTTGGTCTCACTGCTATTCAGCATTCAACATTGAATTGTATGTTGTGGCCAGTGCTATAAGGAAAAGAGATAAAAGATAGATTGGAAAGAAGTGAAGTTGTTTATTATTTGTGCGTGGCATGATTGTATAGAAATTTGAAACTGCAAAAAATCTAGTAGCAGGTTAGCAGAGTTATAGATGTAAGATTAATATACAGCATCAATTGTATTTCTTCTGTGTACTAGCAACAAATATCTAGAACTTACATGGCTAGGGCTATAGCTTAATGTTTGCCTAACATGCATGAGGCTCTGGGTTCTATCCCTAGTACCACAAAAGAAAAAGAAAAAAATTGTAATGGTTAATCATGTCAGCTTGGTCTCAGGGATGTCTAGGAGACTGATAAAGCATACTTCGTGTGCTTTGGATGGGACAGGTGGGATATGACTTTGAGGACTATATCTGGTCCCTGGCTCCTTTCCCTCCGGCTGTTTCACTGTCCCTCTGGTCCCTGTCTGTGGGATGAGCAGCTTTCTCCTACCAGGCCCTTTTGTCATGTGTTTCTGTATGGGAGCCAGCCAGCCATGAACTGAACCCTTAGAAACTGTGAGCCAAAATGTACCTTTTGTCCTTTGAGTTGTGTTTGTCAGGTATTTTGTCCTAGCAATAGAAAAGCTAATACAAGGATCATAGATTTAATTACTAAATTAAATCGAAACAACAAAACTTTCAGGGAAAAAAGCAAAGACAAACTCTTAGTGACCTTGGATATGACAAGGATATCTTAAATACAAAAATAATAAATACCAATTCTGAGAGAAAACACAACAAATTTGGCTTCATCAAAATACTAAAAAATGAAATATGGAGAGAAGTTGGACTGGCAAAGGGACCTTGGAAACTGAGAATGATATGACAGTGAGTACTCTAATGAGTTTTCATTTCATTTGCTCTGGGTGCTGGAGAGCCAGCAATAGAGGAACACAGTAGAGAGTGACGGTGGGAGGAGCCTGAGAAAAGCTTGCTCTTTCTAGCCAAAGGACCCAAAAAGGAATAACCTAGTATTATTGTAAACTGAGAAACATTACTCGGGCTGACACCATGGAACAAAATGGGCCGCATCCTCATCAGGAAAGTTTTAGGGGAGAGCCTAGACTTTCACAGCAGCAATGTTGTGCAGAGATGG